TGATGTATAAAATAGCGGGAAAACCCTTAAAAATTCGGGATTTTATAATCCCGAAATTTCCCGGAATTTCATTTTTTAAAATCCCGGTTTTCGGTACTTTCAATTCCCGAAAATACCGGGGTTTTCGGGAATCGGGAATTCCCGTTTGACATCCCTAGTTATCATATCAGCGCTCTTACGAAGTGCCATTAAATAAGATGTAAAACATGATCATATGTACATTCCGAAATTTTCGCGTTTTTCGAATTAAAACATATTTTTTGGAAATTTAAGATATAGTAATTAATTAATAATGTGGAGAGTTTGGATACAGTTAAATACTAAAAACTTGGTCTATTTGAAGACTTTAATCTTTTTTAAAGAATTTTATATTTTTTGCACGCTTTCTATAAAAAGGTGCCAAAAAATTAAAAATTTTTAAATATTCCATGTTTTAATGACAGTGATCTATGAAAGATTGATATATTTTTGACATAAAATTTTTGGCTATAAATAAATAAGGGACCAGAAAGCGTATTATGGACCCATCCTTACAAAATTTGGTAATGAGATTTTAGATCCTATAAAACTTGTTTGTGTTGACTTTCATCACTATACTTGTATTTTAGGATGTTGTATGTCATAACTTCGTTTTCGAAAGTTGACTCTAAGAGCGGTCATTTTCTAATGGGGATCTAGTATGGGGGATGGGATCAATTATGAGCCGATCATCACCAAATTTGGTAAAGTGATTTTTATTCCTGTTTGTGTTAAATTTTGTCATAATACTGCTATTATTAAGACAGTTAAGAGTGTTAAAATAAAATTATGTTCGTTAGAGTAATTTTCTTAAAGGGGCCTTATATTGGTGTTGCTCAATTATGGTTCGATGTCCGCAATACATCATATAAAAAAAACTTTTGCAAAATTTTATCTCGATTGCTGCCTAATTAATATACATAACTATGACACTTTATACTGTATTATGGCAGATGCCTTTAAATGATATCACTGTCGCCCCACTCTAATAAACTTTTATACCTATATATAACAAGTGTTAAAAAATGCATTCGAATGACCCACAAAAAGTATTTTTAGTCAAAAATCTAAAAGAAAGATTCCTTGCAGATTGTCTTGCAGATAATTAAACAAAAAATATATTTTTGAAGTGATTTATAACGTATTTGTAATGTTTTAATAAACAAACATTTTGTGGCTCTTTTAAAACCCTGTTTTGTAAACTGTAAAATTTTGGCTCTTCCGACTCAAAAGTTTGCCGACCCCTGGTCTAGTCTAGTCTATAGTCTAGTCTATAGTCTAGTCTTAGTCTAGTATAGTCTAGTCTATAGTCTAGTCTAGTAGTCTAGTCTAGCTAGTCTAGTCTATAGTCTAGTCTATAGTCTAGTCTATAGTCTAGTTCCTATAGTCCTAGTCTATAGTCTAGTCTATGTCCTAGTCTATAGTCTAGTCCTATAGTCTAGTCTATAGTCTATGTCTATAGTCTAGTCTATAGTCTAGTCTATAGTCTAGTCTATAGTCTAGTCTATAGTCCTAGTCTATAGTATAGTCTAGTCTATAGTCTAGTCTATAGTCTAGTCTATAGTCTAGTCTATAGTCTAGTCTATAGTCTAGTCTATAGTCTAGTCTATAGTCTAGTTATAGTCTAGTCTATAGTCTAGTCTATAGTCTAGTCTATAGTCTAGTCTATAGTCTAGTCTATAGTCTAGTCTATAGTCTAGTCTATAGTCTAGTCTATAGTCTAGTCTATAGTCTAGTCTATAGTCTAGTCTATAGTCTAGTCTATAGTCTAGTCTATAGTCTAGTCTATAGTCTAGTCTATAGTCTAGTCTATAGTCTAGTCTATAGTCTAGTCTATAGTCTAGTCTATAGTCTAGTCTATAGTCTAGTCTATAGTCTAGTCTATAGTCTAGTCTATAGTCTAGTCTATAGTCTAGTCTATAGTCTAGTCCTATAGTCTAGTCTATAGTCTAGTCTATAGTCTAGTCTATAGTCTAGTCTATAGTCTAGTCTATAGTCCTAGTCTATAGTCTAGTCTATAGTCTAGTCTATAGTCTAGTCTATAGTCTAGTCCTATAGTCCTAGTCTATAGTCTAGTCTATAGTCTAGTCTATAGTCTAGTCTATAGTCTAGTCTATAGTCTAGTCTATAGTCTAGTCCTATAGTCTAGTCTATAGTCTAGTTCTATAGGTCTAGTCTATAGTCGAGTCCTATAGTCTAGTCTATAGTCTAGTCCTATAGTCTAGTCTATAGTCTAGTCTATAGTCTAGGTCTATAGCTAGTCTATAGTCTAGTCTATAGTCTAGTCTTAGTCCTAGTCTATAGTCTAGTCTATAGTCTAGTCTATAGTCTAGTCTATAGTCTAGTCATAGTCTAGTCTATAGTCTAGTCTATAGTCTAGTCTATATTGCTAGTCTATCGTTCTATCTAGTCTAGTCTATAGTCTAGTCTATAGTCCTAGTCTATTCCTAGTCTATAGTCTAGTCTATAGTCTAGTCTATAGTCTAGTCTATAGTCTAGTTTATAGTCTAGTCTATTAGTCTAGTCTATAGTCTAGTCTATAGTCTAGTCTATAGTTAGTCTATAGTCTAGTCTATAGTCTAGTCTATAGTCTAGTCTATAGTCTAGTCTATAGTCTAGTCTATACTGTCTAGTCTGTATAGTCTAGTCTATAGTCTAGTCTATAGTCCTAGTCTATAGTCTAGTCTATAGTCTAGTCTATAGTCCTAGTCTAGTCTAGTCTATGTCTAGTCTATAGTCTAGTCTATAGTCTAGTCTATAGTCTAGTCTATAGTCTAGTCTATAGTCTAGTCTATAGGTCTAGTCTATAGTCTAGTCTATAGTCTAGTCTATAGTCTAGTCTATAGTCTAGTCTATAGTCTAGTCTATGTCTAGTCTATAGTCTAGTCTATAGTCTAGTCTATAGTCTAGTCTATAGTCTAGTCTAGTCTAGTCTATAGTCTAGTCTATAGTCTAGTCTATAGTCTAGTCTATAGTCTAGTCTATAGTCTAGTCTATAGTCTAGTCTATAGTCTAGTCTAGTAGTCTATAGTCTAGTCTATAGTCTAGTCTATAGTCTAGTCTATAGTCTAGTCTATAGTCTAGTCTATAGTCTAGTCTATAGTCTAGTCTATAGTCTAGTCTATAGTCTAGTCTATAGTCTAGTCTATAGTCTAGTCTATAGTCTAGTCTATAGTCTAGTCTATAGTCTAGTCTTAGTCTAGTCTATAGTCTAGTCTATAGTCTAGTCTATAGTCTAGTCTATAGTCTAGTCTATAGTCTAGTCTATAGTCTAGTCTAGTCTAGTCTATAGTCTAGTCTATAGTCTAGTCTATAGTCTAGTCTATAGTCTAGTCTATAGTCTAGTCTATAGTCTAGTCTATAGTCTAGTCTATAGTCTAGTCTATAGTCTAGTCTATAGTCTAGTCTATAGTCTAGTCTATAGTCTAGTCTATAGTCTAGTCTATAGTCTAGTCTATAGTCTAGTCTATAGTCTAGTCTATAGTCTAGTCTATAGTCTAGTCTATAGTCTAGTCTATAGTCTAGTCTATAGTCTAGTCTATAGTCTAGTCTATAGTCTAGTCTATAGTCTAGTCTATAGTCTAGTCTATAGTCTAGTCTATAGTCTAGTCTATAGTCTAGTCTATAGTCTAGTCTATAGTCTAGTCTATAGTCTAGTCTATAGTCTAGTCTATAGTCTAGTCTATAGTCTAGTCTATAGTCTAGTCTATAGTCTAGTCTATAGTCTAGTCTATAGTCTAGTCTATAGTCTAGTCTATAGTCTAGTCTAGTCTAGTCTATAGTCTAGTCTAGTCTAGTCTAGTCTAGTCTATAGTCTAGTCTATAGTCTAGTCTATAGTCTAGTCTATAGTCTAGTCTATAGTCTAGTCTATAGTCTAGTCTATAGTCTAGTCTATAGTCTAGTCTATAGTCTAGTCTATAGTCTAGTCTATAGTCTAGTCTATAGTCTAGTCTATAGTCTAGTCTATAGTCTAGTCTATAGTCTAGTCTATAGTCTAGTCTATAGTCTAGTCTATAGTCTAGTCTATAGTCTAGTCTATAGTCTAGTCTATAGTCTAGTCTATAGTCTAGTCTATAGTCTAGTCTATAGTCTAGTCTATAGTCTAGTCTATAGTCTAGTCTATAGTCTAGTCTATAGTCTAGTCTATAGTCTAGTCTATAGTCTAGTCTATAGTCTAGTCTAGTCTATAGTCTAGTCTATAGTCTAGTCTATAGTCTAGTCTATAGTCTAGTCTATAGTCTAGTCTATAGTCTAGTCTATAGTCTAGTCTAGTCTATAGTCTAGTCTATAGTCTAGTCTATAGTCTAGTCTATAGTCTAGTCTAGTCTAGTCTATAGTCTAGTCTATAGTCTAGTCTATAGTCTAGTCTATAGTCTAGTCTATAGTCTAGTCTATAGTCTAGTCTATAGTCTAGTCTATAGTCTAGTCTATAGTCTAGTCTATAGTCTAGTCTATAGTCTAGTCTATAGTCTAGTCTATAGTCTAGTCTATAGTCTAGTCTATAGTCTAGTCTATAGTCTAGTCTATAGTCTAGTCTATAGTCTAGTCTATAGTCTAGTCTATAGTCTAGTCTATAGTCTAGTCTATTGTCTAGTCTATTGTCTAGTCTATAGTCTAGTCTATAGCCTAGTGTATTGTCTAGTCTATTGTCTAGTCTATAGTCTAGTCTATAGTCTAGTCTATAGTGTAGTCTATAGTGTAGTCTATAGTCTAGACTATAGTCTGGTCTATAGTCTAGACTATAGTCTAGTCTATAGTCTAGTCTACAGTCTAATCTATAGTCTAGTCAACAGTCTAGTCTATAGTCTAGTCAACAGTCTATTCTATAGTCTAGTCAACAGTCTAGTCTATAGTCTAGTCTATAGCCAGGTCTATAGTCAAGTATATTTTAGTTGGAATATTCGGTTAAATTTTCACAGCTTTTAAGTTCCACATTAAAACACAAAATTCTATCACGTTCCATTTAAACACTTAACAATACTTACAATTAGAATCGGCAATCAATGATGTTAAATTACTGCCGTTCAACATTATTTCCAACAACTTATTATGACTGCACTTTAAGGTCTCCAATTGTGCCAAAGAACTTAAATCCAAAACTTCCATTTCGTTTTCACTCACCTCCAATTGGGTCAAATACTAAGTTAAAGAGAAGAAAAACATTTAATGAACAAACAACAATAATAATAAATCATAAATTATGTACATTGTATGATAATAACAAAAGTAGTTATGATCATACATTGCATACTTGTGCAAAAATTTACAAAAAAAGACTCTTATGGTGAGAGAGACTAAAGGTACTTACGAGTTTACAACAACAGAAAAACGTCTGTCTACACGCTTGCGCACAATAAAAATTACATAATTGAGGTTTTCTTGAAGGGAAACGCAAACGATGGCGTTACCAGATATTGATGGACCAATGAATATGTATACTTTTTATGGAATTTTTTAAACTTAGTTCAGACCTATGAAATATTTGACTAAAATAAATGACCCTTAAAATATCCACATTTAATTTCCGTACTCACACATACCTATATTTTATGGCTCGATGTATAAAATCTCGAATTTAGTGGTCGAATTACGTGATCGAATAAGTGTTCGTATCGAAAACACATTTTGATATGAAAATTTTACTAAAAATACTATATATATGTACATTTGTTTTGCAATATCGAATGATTTTTTACTTGGTCACGTTTTTAGCAATTCGATAATTCAGCCCAATATCATTACAAATTGTCTTTAATGTTCATCAAATAAAAAAATTGGTCGCAGAGAATACGACCTCCTGTTCGTTAGTTGGCTGTTGCTAGTGCGCGAGCAGTTCAAATGCTAAAGTAAACATAAAAGAAGTATTATATGGGAGTTATGGTATGGGCTGATCTTCATAAAATTTTTGAGGAAGGTATTATGGTATCAGAAATTTTATCGCGATGGACGTTATGGAAGTTTAAGTCATTTTCTAAAGGGGAGTTCCTATGGGGGTTAGGTTTAAATGAGGACAAAAATCGTCAATACTATATATGCTTATTTGTTTGACCAATTTTTGAAGAGGTTCTAATAAATTTGACGTAGTTATGAGATAAAAACCGTTATCAGAAGTTTCGTTTGTATAGAGAAATAATGGACCGATTTTAACCATTTTCAATAGGACCTTTATTTAAACATGTATGGTCCAAATTTCATTAAAATATATTGAACAAAACGGCCTGTTCCTAGTGCACTCTCCATGTAAACCTTCATGGAGAGTCAGCCAGCCGGAAGGTGGTACTCAGAAAGTGATTCTGAGTCGATCGGTATATTTTAATGAATAGGTGTACGACCACTTTTTTGTGCGTTATAACTTTGGAACTCATAATTATGTTAATTATAAAAGTAGCAATACAAAAAACGGCACAAACAAGTTTTATTCTATACGCATAATGATACTGCCGAATTTCGTAATGATAAGGCTTTCGACCCTTTAACTTATACAAAAAAACCTATATATATAAATCCATTTTCTAACAGTGTAAATGAAATAGTTTTCTTTTATAAACATGTTTTGACATGGGTGTCCCGGTAGTCTAGTTGGTAGTATGCTAGCCTGTCAATCTGGGAGTTGTGGGTTCGATTCCCAACAGAGACCCTGGTTAGCTACACTATAACGGACGTTGGTCATCGTCATCCTGCTCGGGTGAATATATATAATTTGTAATTGTATTGTAATGGACAAATAAATAAATGTTTTGACACCAAGCATATGTATCCTACTTTTCATACGTACGCAATCTGGCAACATTGAAGCAAAAGTACATAACGTTTAAAATGATAAAAATCTTAAAAAAAACGTTTATTTAGTTCAATTAATTTAATATATTTTCTTTACTTTTTTCCAAATTGTTTATAAACTTCTCCCGAGCTTTCTTAAAATACATATAAAAATATCTTTTATTTTTTTAATCTTACATTATAATTTCCAATTAATATACTGCCACTTAATTGATTTCCTTTTAAACTAAAACTTTTCAAAGGTTGCTGTTGATCGGAGGAATCACTGGATCCATTTACTGGTTGTTGCTGTTGATCGAGTTTTTCATTAGTTTTCATTTTTAATTTAGACTTGTAAAAATCAGCTGAAGGTTTCTTTAAAATTTTCGTAGCTTTAATCATATTGTGGATTGTTTAATAGTGTTGTTGATGGTTTGGATTATTACTTGTTGGACGTCTCTTCTATTTTTTTTAACGGTTATAAAGTGTTTTGCGCAAGATCTTTGTCATGCATGAACAATTTAGCCATATATAAGTGAACTTTATGCATTTTTAATTGTAGATTTAATGTAGATTTAACACAATTTTTTAATATTTTTTTAAAATTGGTAGATTCAAATTTAAAATCTTTGTTTATTCACACATTTTTTTTCTTAAAAATGTTAACACTTTTTGGAAATTCTTTCTTTAATATAACATTTTTTTTTACTTTTTTCATTAACGTTTTAATATTTTATTTTTTCCCTTATTAAATTTTTATTAAACCGTCTTAAACATTACGCAGTCAATTCAAAACTAAACATTTTCAAAAGCAACATGTTACGCCTCAGAGATTTTTTCAGTCACTTGTATATTTTGTTGGTAAGAAGTTATTTCTTCTAGCCCATCTACTGCTGACTTAAAAACCACCACCAATACCAGCTCCAACAACTCTACTTCCCCCACCAAGAGCTGTATTTCTACCGCTACCACCTTTACAAGTACCTAACACCTGTTGTAGCCGACAGTGCTTTAGCATTCTCAGTTCCACTTGTTTGTTATTAAGTCGTATTCAAAAATTCCTCTCTTCTTTAAAACACAGGAGTTCGTGTGTTGAGCAAGTGTTTTATGGTCTAATAACAACAGAGTTTTGAAAGTATTAGAATTACATATATTTTAAACTTGAATGGAGTTAATTTTTGAATTGAAAATATGACACTGATCAACTTTTACCATACCTATTGACATCATTTAAGATTGACAAATCACATCAGGGAAAGACTATAGGATGTCCATAGAATGGTCAGTTGACTAGTCCATAAATTAGTCAGTAGAGTCCATTGACTATTCAGTAGACTCGTCCATTGACTAGTCAGTAGACTAGCCAATTTACAACTTAATAGACTTATCCATATACTATTCAATAGAATAGAATAGTCCATATACTAGTCTATAAGCTAAAATAATCAATATTCTAGTTCATAGGCTTGTCAATAGAGTAGTAAATAGAATAGTTACTTGGTTATTCCATATAGTCAATAGACTAGCGCATAGACAAGTCAATAGACAAGTTCATAGACCAATAAGTACACTTTTCAATATACTTGTCAATAAACTTGTCAGCAGGCTTTTAAAAGACCAATCCATAAACTGAAGCATAGACTAGTCAATATATTAGTCAATGGGATACTCCATAGACTTCCTAATAGACTCGCCCACAGGCTCGTCAATAGGGAAGTCCATAATATATTCAACAGATAAGTTCATAGGCTAGTCAATAATCTTTTCAATATGTATATTGGACTAGTCTGTGGCCCATAGGCTAATTAAAAATACTATAATTTAGTTGATAATCTAGTCCAAAGAGTAATCCATATATCCAAAGTTGGCAATATTATAAAATAAATAATAATAAATATAAAATTCTTTGTCAATTGTTATAAAATGATTAAACTCCTTTAGATAACTGCTGCCACTTAATAATTTAGGTACTAGTATATAACTCTATGTGTATTACGAGTACATTTAAATAACATTGAGTAGAGATTATCAATGAATTTTACAAGGTACTAGTTGTCAATTATCTCTTTTTAAATTTTCTTCACTTTAGCTTTAAGTTGAAGCAGTGTTGGGAAACTCTGCAAGTTTTTTTTATAACAGATATTTAACAAGGTTTATGGGGCTTTAGTTTTAATTTCCGTAATTAATATACATACTATATTTTTTCTGCATTTTGCTGTTTGTTTGATGCAATCAAATAAAAAGTCAAGCTTTCAATTTTACTATTATGTTTAGTGTTACTTTAATAAGAGCATATTATCTTAATATCAGAAACCTTCAGGCTCTCAATTTGTAATATATATTTTTTTTTGTTCTCTTTAATAGATTAGTATAGTTGAAAAATAAGAAGCAAATATACATTCGTAATTCAGCTCTGGGTGGAGGAAGATCGTCGTGCATAGTTGCCATTATCGCTTAAGGGGATTCAGGCCGTCCTGGTCCATTGGTCAAATGTGTGACGTCGAATAACTATACCGAGTTACGTTTTTTTTGAGGGGCATGTTGACAATATGCATTCGTGTTAACTTAACCTAAGTTTTAATTTTGATTATGGTGGAGAACCAAAAAAACTCAATTTGATAGTCTGTCCAGTCGTACTGGAATATTTGGTGTTGGCGTTATAATCTTTCGATTTGGCCAAGAAGTCTAAGCAACCTTAAAAAACAAACAAATAAGAAGCAAATAATGTTGTTCTTTTTTTATCCCAGTAAAATATTTTCAAATTTTGGTAATGAGTATTACAGGTTCTTTCATACATTACTTCATTACTTCTTTCATACATTACTTGGTAATGAGTGGTCGTTATCAATAACATTAAATAATTTTTTGAAATAGGATTTATAGAAAATTGTCTATAGCGTATGTCTAATAGGGTGATCCACTCGATTTTTCAACCGGTTTTAAAACCGGTTTTTTCTGCTTTACCAGTGTCGGTTTTTTCTTAATGTTGATTTTTCGAATATCGAATAACCCGGTTTTTTCACTTTTTAAAAACCGGTTTCGAATACTTTCATTTGCTTTGTATTCACAGATTATTTAAATATAATTTTTAAGTAAATAATAATACAGCCCGTCTAAATTTTAAAAATATTCGAGTCGAGGAACTAGCGTATATTTTTCTACGGCTCCTTAAACTTTTTTGATTTTCCTAATTAATTAAAAAAAATTATTTGTAAAATTGACAACTGTTTGATAAAATTTTATCAATCTTAAGATTATATTCCAATTACAATAATTAATTTACGGCTGAAATTTTATGGAAGTGTTGGAATGCCTATGCAAATTTCCTAAACAGGGCTTTTAAAATAAGCTAGGATTACATAGTACCTTATGTTTAACAGAAGTGTCCCACTTTTTTCCTAATTTTTTTATAATAATGAAATAATGTAAATCAGACGACTAGATCTAAAGATATACCCCCTTATTCACAAACAACATTTTTATTTTATAAAAGGTTTATAAAACAAAATTTCCATATAAAATCTTATTTTTAAACTGTTTATAAAATAAAAATTTTGTTTGTGAATAAGGGGGATAATCTTTTAAACTGTTAAAAATCATTTCACATTAATCACATTAAGTTTTTCAAACTAAAATATATTTTTTTATTTATAATGAAAAACCGGTTAACCGGTTTTTTCTGAATTTGAAAAATATCAACCGGTTTTTTTAAAAGTCATCTATTCGAACTATTCGAAAACCGGTTTTTGGAAAATGTCGAATAATCGATCACCCTAATGTCTAATAAGGAAATAGTTAGTGGTTCTAACCCTAGTTGATATTAGACGTTTTTTAAAGAAATATTGATTTTTACATTTGTGAAGTAACCATTTCAGATAGAATGATAAAATAACTGAGTAAGAGAACAGACTAATAAACATAGAAAATAATTGTAAAGCCGGTTTTAAATCCGGAAAGTCATATGTAATCAGTTATTTTTTTATCATCGTCGAACAAAAATAAGTAGTTATTCATCCAAAAAGAAAGTACTTACACTTTGCTCCAATATTACTTGCCTACTTACCGGGTAAGTAAAGATTTTGCTGGGATATTCCGCATAGAAAACAATTTTGCATAAATCCCTAGATCCGTATTACAACATGTACTACATTATGTAAAACAGAAAAAATGGATTTTTCATAAGAAATTTAAGTGCTCAAAATTAACCGTTAGTGTAGACTGCGATCGCGTCGAAAGACAATGTTCTCTTCTCCACAAACTTTGAATAATAAAGGTCAAATTTTGCATTTTTTGGAAATTTATATGCGAACAATTGGTTCCGGGTTGGTAAAATACGTTCAGTATAAATAGAGAAATACTTCGATACCAAATTTTATACACTCGCAGACTGCATTGATTTCGAAGCTACTTTCAATAATATACAACCCAATATTATCTAATCCTTAGACTAGTTCCAGATTGACCGGACGTTTCGAGACTGAATCAACAATAAGCTTAGGAATAGGTGGATAAGCTGCGAGATGTACGATAAAACAATGAGAAATTGATATTTTGCGATTCCAGGTTGACAGGGCACTTCGTGTTTGGATCAACTGCTGGAATAATTGTATATTTCGCGGTAGACGATGTCAACCAAGAGAAAGAAAAACGAAAATTCATAACTGTACTGAAAATCGGTTCTAAAGGCAGGATAACAAACATATTGATGTTGGGCACTATGTAGGAGAACTATAGGCTCGACCAACTTTAACATACGCTTCCATAATCTGGTGGACTGCTTTAGATAAAAAGAAGAAACATGACGATACTCACTCAAGAAACATGACGATACTTACAGCCGAGCGGCTCTTATCTTTAAGTGAATCATCTTCTGATAAGGTTAAATCTAAGACTGTATTGCAGGCAACTCGTGGATAATCGGTAATGAAAGAGTGTATTTACTTGCCGTACATTGAATGGAACTTAAGAACGGTAACCTGAATTATACAAATCCGTACAACGTAAGGAGAACCAAATAAAAACAAGTAAGAAAGTATAGTCGGGCGTGGCCGACCATATGATACCCTACACCAGTTATGAATATTAAATTTGATTTATTTTTCATAATAAAGCATTTATATTCAATGTTCCCTTGTTCCGATACATTTAAGCAATTTATGGATGAAAAACTAATTTTCTGGGGGCTAGGGGCAAATATGGACCAAGTCCGATAAAATTTTGTGAATATATTTATATTTACATAATATTTTATTGTACTGAATTTCATCGCGATATTTGTGTTTATAAGTTAATTTGGGACATTCAAGTAATTTTCTGAAGGGGACTTTGTATAGGAGCTAGGGTCAGATGGGGCCCGATCTTTATGAAATTTGGCAGGGTCATCAAGACTTCTATAAAACTTAGTTGTGCCGTATTTTATCGATATA